CGGAACACTGTAATCACGCAGATTCCGACGGCACTTCTCAAACTAGATCTTTCTTGTGCTGCTTCTAACAGTTTCTTCTGTCGGTACCAATGTAGATTCTCTGCAAAACTAATTTGCAGCTGATATTTTATATCAACCAAGCTGAGTGTGTTGCGTTGAGATCAAACTTCAGCTTCCTTCGCTTTTCGCGCAACTCCTGCGTGGTGGAGGAGATGCGATCAGCTCCTCTGGGTTGAGTGAGTGAAGCTAAGTCGGCGCGCTTTTTTAGTCCTTCGACAAGCAGCTCGTAGTCTTCGGTCGGATCATCCTTGATCTGCCAGTCATGGTTGGATAGGATTTCGTCTAGAATGTCGTCGTCTTAGATGGTTTGACGACTTCTTCTTGGTAAAAAACATGAATTCTTTTCCAGCTTAGGAGTGAAATCGTCGATCCAAATTTTCCAATCTTGTGTTCGCTCTCGTTAGTTGTTCCTAATCTGGCACTGAAGTCTCCGATAACGAATTTGTAATACGCCTTATCATTTAGGATGACTTCAACTGGTGGTAAAACGCGTCGAGCTCGTGTTCATCAGCTGTGTCGGTTGGTGAATAACAGTTGATGACAGTAGTTTTAGTATTACAGCTTAAGCTGGAGTCGAATAGCTAGACGAGGGGAAAGGACTTCCTAAGAGTCGACAAGATGGGTGATGGACGCGTGAACAACAAAGCCACGCCTCCGACATTTCGTGATGGCACCTTTTCTCCGCGAATTACGAGTGTGCCGTTGTTCACTTGACGTATGTCGGTCTTCTTAGTTTTAGTTTCTTGCACGGTAAAAAAATTTTATGCGATTTGCTGCTTTCAAGAAATGCGTGAAGAACGTCGTCAGTGGAGAGTGCTCTTGCATTATACGAACAGCAGTAGAAAACAATCTCTATGGCGTGTCGATTGCGTAGTCAACAGATCCGAACCAATGGCGTCCCAATATCCTTCGAATCTCGTGGTTTTGAGGCCTTTCAGTGGTTGCCTCGCCGCTTGACGCCACAGACGGGAACACCGAGTCTACGGGGTATTGAGAGGTGATCTTATTGCTGATTGTGCAAATCGATATTCCTTGGATTACTGACTTAACCTTGCATGCGGGTTTTTACGTCTTCAGATCTTGATGACGTCGTCTCCAAGAAATTTGTTCGGCATCCGGTCCTAGCAGTCGGATTTCCTTTCAGTTTTATAATTGCTTAGTTTTCAGATTGGCGGCCACGTTCGATAACGCGATGACCATAGATCTTTCGGGCATATGAACGCGTAGAGAAGTATAACGTCAGCAGTTCACGTGGGCGCCTCACCCACAGCACATGGATTGGCCAAAGACCTCCTTGTTTGCATATGCTAAATCAACTTATCTTACGGGCTGCGTTTCAGAAAAACGGTCTTTTCAGGGTCTAGGCACAGCGTCGGAATCAAATGCGATTACGCTGTCGAATGATTACTATTAGTCCGAAGAAAGAGTCTTGTCATGCGAGAAATATGCGCGTCTGAGACATAGTTTTTGTGGAGATCACAGTGTTATAAAAGGCTCTTTCGAAAAGTGACGACATCGGGCTGTAGCCTGATGTTTCAGCTTTCGAATGTTTACTAACATTCCTCTGAAAAGTTTCTGTCGAGACGTGAGTTCGGTTTTCATTTGTCCCCTAAAACTGTTAGTACTCCCTGCTCCTAGAGGCCGTAAAAGAAATCATAATTGACAGGAACGAGTACATTTTCTGAACCCAGGTCAAAACACTCTACAATTCCTTGTATTCACGAACTTTGAAGGTCTTCTAATGCAGAAGTACCTCATTGACACAACTATGAACAGTGAGAAGAATAAAGATCTCGGCGCTGAACAATCCCTGAGGAATACGTCAAGCATTCGACTTCATCAGGTATCGTCAGAGATAGCTGAATACATTCCTGGCTTTTGTATCACTCGCGTTGGCCTAGCGATCTACCAAGTCAGTGCTGTTATCTTCCCAAGCAATGTGGTAAACGATTCACCGACTGCGGAAGGACGAAAGGTTTGATGAAATTTGAGGGTAAGATCCAACTCATCGACCACCTTTATGTCGCAGGGCACCTTCTAACCACTGCGGCGCTCGCGTTCTTAACCGGTGACTTCCGTAAACCCAGAGGTGTGTCCAAAGACTCTAGCTCCTTCAAACTGAGTGGACGCCGACTAAGCCTACTTTTGTTGCATGACCCCACAGCTAAGTTTTGCAATGATTCGTGTGCGGTCTGCGCCGGCGTATTGACTGCTGTTTCTTGATGTTATATGTGCAAGTGTGGTGTCAGCATCAAGAAATGGCAGTCAATACGCTGTCGAAGACCGCACGCGAACCATCCCGAAACTTAGCTGCAGGTTCTGCAACATAAAGTAGCTGTAGTCGGTGTCTAATAGGGCAGAGGAAGTGGAGTCGTTGGACACGCCCTGGGTCCACGGAAGTCAACCGACTAGCGCAACTACAGTATTAAGAAAGCCGTTTTATTGTGAACAATAAGACCAGAGAGAACAAATGCGGCAATGTTCACCTACCCGACCCGACGTTTCTCAAATAACACCATCCATGTCTTGATAACGTCAGTTGTACGCCGATCGGTAGTGGATTCCTCGAGCATCGCTGTTAACATTAGCCATTCAGCAATGGGCCGATTAAGTGAGTTCTCTCCGTCCATATTCTTCTTACGTACTATAAGCCTTGCCGCAGCAAGTCTGGTAGCACGTGGGAACTCAATAAGGACAATAAGAAGTACTTAGTTGCATAGCAATATGCTGTGACAGTTTCATTCATCATCTTCTCATCGATACAATGATAATACTTATCGGAATGACTCAAGCTTTTCGTTAGAAAAAAAGGCTTCGGTGACAGTTTTATGAAGTTATGGGTCCCTTACGCCTAGTAGAACGGGTTTTCAAGCCTCTCAGTACACTGGACAAGAATTTATTATAAGGAGAGTTAGTAGTCATTGTGGAGCTTGAATCTTAGCTAGCGCTATACGTGCACAGTCCTCCGATAAGAGCCCTCTACAACGCTTCAACTAAAGGAAAACTTTTGCGTTTCACGTGCGGATATTTCTCACAGTACAGAACTCGTTCTTTAGACTATCAGCAATAATTCGATAGCGTAGGCCTTACCGATTCTGACACTGCACTGATGTTTTGAAAAGACCGTTTTTTTGCAACGCAGCATGGAGAATAAGATTGATTCACATACACGAGCAAGTATTCTTTGGGCAATTTATGGGCTGTGGGAAGGGTGCAGTGGGAGTAGGAAGGTCTGCGGGAACATCGATGGATGGCGCCCATGTGGAGTGTATTAGATTAAAAAATGTTTCTTCGCCTTAGAAAGAAACCCCCGATGATAACAGAAGACTTTTTCTACAGGTTCATGTGTTCTTCGTGCTTCCAGCGAAGTTTTAGTTAGATTGCGCGGCCGACGTGAAACTTAGAAATATTCTAAATTTAGAGCCCTACAGAAGGGTCTTTCGAAAAAACCTGCCATATACAGCGCTGGCTTGAGATTTAAGCTTTCGAATGATCACTAACACTCTTTGTGGAAACTTCTTGTCAGGCATGGAGGATAGGCTTGGAAATCTGTGCTTCCAAACGAAAAGAACCAATTTATGCCTCCGAGTGTGTGACATGCAGAACTCTGAGGCTCGGGCGACAGTTGGACCGTACCTATTGTTCTCACGAGGAAAAAGGGGAAGAGAAAGGTGTGGTGGTGCTGACCGATGCACTCACTACCGTGTGGAGTCTAACCTGGATTTAATGCTGATATGGGCTTACCTAAAGAGCAAATGTGGCGCAGTGATTAAAGGTGCTCTGAGGCGCACACGAGGTCAGTGGTTCGATTTCGTGCTCATGGCACCAAACCATCCATCCTTCCGAAGTCGATAAACTGTTACCAGACTGGTCTCAGACTTTGATGGGAGGATAAGCAGCACCGACTCGATTCAGCGGGAGGCCACCGCGAGTCATTGTAAAGGCCAGATGTGCATTCAATCACCTCAAGCGAAGTCAAAGATTGAAGACGAATGCATGGCGTCCCTCAGTGATCGATCAACGCCGAAAGTTTTCTTCTTTTTAGCTTCATGGTTTACCAAAACAAACGCGTTAACGGTAGGTTGATGACAGCTCCGATATCTTATATCGCAGAGAGATTGGTAGGACAACAGGAACTCCAGTAATGAGCGCGGTGATTAGCGCTCTCCAACGGAGCGGGTGAGACGCGGTTCAACTCCTGCTCGAAGCCCAAGGTTTAGCAAACCACTCAATATTCTTGGAGGTCTCTAGAATGTGATACCATTCGCGAGTATTTTCTTAAGACCACGCTCAAATTCCAATATATCTGATAATTATTTTCTAGGTATGTATATGCCATGTGGTCTTTTATGCGCACTTATAGAGAGCCCAATACACGTGTTTCGGCCTTGACAGCTTCGTCATTCGGACAGTACCCTTCGTCTTAGCCAATCCCTCTTGGGGGAAACCCAATCCCCCCCCCCCCCCCCTCCAACCCGTGCAAAGAGTAGACGAAGACGCATTATATACACGTGTTAGAAGTGAAAGAGATCGCTTGATCACTTAACAATGCCGATCTAGTGATTTATTACACTTGACAGCACGTTTACATAGTACGTCGTCGCCTACTCTATGTAGGGGGGCGTTGGGTCTTCTCCAAGAGGCTAAGACGAAGGGTAGTGTCCGACTTACGACGCTGTCAAGGGCGAAACACGTGTATTGGGCTGTATAATTGTCCATAGCAACCACATGACATGTATGGCTCATAGAATAATTACGAGGACGATTAGAAATTCTGCTGTACATCCTACTTAGACCAAACATTATCGGCTCCAGTCGAAACCCTTCCTTAACATTCCTTGTTTATAACAAGAACTCTTGCTCAACGTCAAAACGTCTCGTTGTCGAATCTAACAAAATAGACCAGATAATGAAGCAGAAGGAATGCTTCCACAACGTGAGCGTTGGTAGCGCAATTAGTCAGCACGTGCATCCTAAAAGGATGAAAGATGCGGGTTCAAAACCCGTCTAAGGTTCAGAGATTTGCAAAGCTAAACGGATAAAGCTCTAGAGGTCGATCACCCCCTGGGGGATGCGAGACATTTCCCATTTTCTTTCGTTTTCATTATCTAACTTCGTTCGAGATGTTAAATGCATATCTGGCCTTTACAATGACATGCGGTGGGATCCCCCTGAAACGAGCCAATGATGCTTATCGTTCCAGCCAAGGATGGCAACTATTTACCGACTCTGGAAGGATAAATCGTCTGGTGGGCCATGAGCCGAGATCGAACCATCAATCTTGTGGACGCAGAGCGGCTCTAATCACTGTGCCACTTGCGCTCTGGATTTCTGTATATCACTCAAAAGTGATGGTTTATATTATAAATATATAACCATCACTTTTGAGTGATATACAGAAATCCAGAGCGCAAGTGGCACAGTGGATTAGAGGAGCCGCTCCTGCGTCCACAAAGATTGATGGTTCGATCTCGGCTACATGGCCCACCAGACGATTTATCCTTTCCAGAGTCGGTAAATAGTTGCCATCCTTGGCTGGAACGATAAAGCATCATTGGCTCGTTTCAGGGGGATCCCAACGCATGTCATTGTAAAGGCCAGATATGCATTTTAACATCTCGAACGAAGTTAGATAATGAAAACGAAAGAAAATGGGGAAATGTCTCGCCATCACCCCAGGGTGGTGATCGACCTCTAGAGCTTTATCCGTTTAGCTTTGCAAATCTCTGAACCTTAGACGGGTTATTGAACCCGCATCTTTCATCCTTTTAGGATGCACGTGCTGACTAATGTGCCGCTACCAACGCTCACGTTGTGGAAGCATTCCTTCTGACTTCATTATCTGGTCTATTTTGTTAGATTCAGACAACGAGACGTTTTGACGGTTTTTGAGCTAAGAGTTCTTGTTATAAACAAGGAATGTTAAGGAAGGGTTTCGACTGGAGCCGATTAATGTCTATGGTCTAAAGTAGGACTGTACAGCAGCAGAATTGTCTAATCGTCCTCGTATTATCTTTATGAGCCATACATGGTCATGTGGTTGCTCATGTCTATAATGGACAATTATACAGCCCAATACACGTGGTTCGCCCTTGACAGCGTCGTAAGTCGGACACTACCCTTCGTCTTAGCCTCTTGGAGAAGACCCAAACGCCCCCCCTACATAGAGTAGGCGACGACGTATACTATGTAAACGTGCTGTCAAGTGTAATAAATCACTAGATGGCATTGTTAAGTGATCAAGCGATCTCCTTCACTTCTAACACGTGTATATATAATGGTCTCGACTTACTCTTTGACGGGTTGGAGGGTAGGTAGGGGGGGGATGGGTTTTCCCCCATAAGAGGGGATGGCCCCTCTCAAGACGCCAATGAAACCCCACCCGCAAGGATAACTGTGTTCCCAGCAAATGAGCGATATCGAAGCTTTGTCAAGGCGGAAACAGTGTATGGGCTCTATATAAGTGCGCATACAAAGAACCAACATCGGAAAAATATACATTACCTAGAACCCAATACTAAGTAATTATCCACG